TGATATACTGGGTGACTCGAGGGAGACAGCTCGGTGCCGCAATTTCCTCGCTGGAAAACAAGGGACGTTGGTCATTTGGCCTTGTGAAACCTCTCTGAGGTTCCTGGATGACCAGTTCTGCAAGGGAAAGCAAACTATGATTACTATAGCTAATATGGTCATAATTATGATTATTAATCACCAGGCAGTCAGGATTTAAGGCTCGCCTCCTGCCCTCCTCTCATCCCATAAATCAGCCTGGGATGCTCATGGACACATCACGTGGACACGGATGTGCCTGATGATAAGGGCACGTGCAGGCTTCACCCCTCCCTGGCAGAGTGGAGCATGGGGGCACCAACGGGGCTTTGGGCATGGGGCAGGGCAGGGGAGTGACCCCCGGAAGGCTTGTCCTGATCCAGGCATAGTGGTGGGATCACTTCATCCCCATTTCCCTGACCAGGGACTCTTATCCCATTTCATGGCTGATGGAAGAACCTCTTCCCCATAGAGCCCTCGCATATGGAGTTGTTTCATTCCCTTTCAGGTTATTATTGACTCAGCTCCAGTTCCTCCCATTGCCCCCATGGTTCTTCCAGCCAGGAGGCTGCCAGTCCATGCCCTGCCTTCCCTGCCCTCCTTGGGGCACTTTCTGCCCAGACTTCTTTCAATTCCCTGGGTCTTAAGCATATGCTTGCAGTTAATCCTGTGCTTACATTTTATCCCAAGTAGGAAGAATTGGGGTGTCTGGGCAAATTTTCCTGCTGTTCAAGGCAGCTGAAGGGCTCCCTCTAATTCAGCTGAGCAGTAATCCTCTCTCCCTACCCTGCTCTCCTCCTCCTCCTCCCCCCTCACTCAGTTCTTTCTTCTCTTCCTCCTCCTCCTCCTCCTCCTTCTCCTCCTTCTCCTTGAGTGTTTTTGAGGGGTTTGTTCCTTTCCCCTTCTTTCCTTCCTTCCCCAGCCCTGGGAAATCAGTGGGAAGATGCTGAATTTCCAGGACAAGGGAGACCTGGGTGCTTCCCAAGGGTATCCTCCTCCACCCTGCTCCTGCAGCACAAGGAGCCAATAGAGAGTGCAGGGAATGATCATCTCCACAGGGAATTGTCCCCCACCCCATGAGGGGCAGGTTCAGCTGTGAGATGGGCCGTGGGTTTGGTGTGGGAGATGTGGGATGGAGGGGATGGGACCCACTTGAATCCCAGCTGCCGGCTGACACTTGTCGGGAGAATGTTTGCCAAAGGGGAGACGGTGTTTTTCCACATGGCTGGAATTACAGCCACACAGCAAACACAGCCAGCGCGGGAGAGATGGGCTCACACCATCCCCAGTGCTGCCTGCAGCCACCGTGCTGTCCCCAGACAGGCTCCAGTGTCCCGGCTCCCTGGCACGGTGCATGCCCCTGCTTTGCCCTTCACTTCGTGACAGGGGAGGGAGGAACCACGGCTGTAGATGGACAATGCAGGAGGAAGGATGCTCCAGCGATGTGACAGGGGAGGAGGAACTGGGGCTGTAGCTGGATTTTGCAGGGGGAAGGATGCTCCTTGTCCCCATCACTCCACATCCTGGCGTAGTTTCCCAGTTTGTCACCTCCGCTGTTTGTTTGCTCAGTATAAAGAAACGCACCCAAACCAAACACCATTAATTGTGCAGCCAAAATTAACCCTCATCAGCCTGGGCTTTCCACTACAGCATCCGCGGGGAGGCCTTATGGGAGGCTGCAAACCTGGGAAGGACACGGTGACATTAAACCAAGTCACAGACTTGTCAAAGTTCTTTCCTGTCCAAGTGGGAAGTGGCAGGAAAATCCGCGGGGACTCAGCTCCGGGATGTGGCGCGCTCGGTTCACAGCAGCTGTGTCAGCATCCTCACTGCTCAGCGGGGGAAACTGAGGCACGGGGCAGGCTCCTGGCTCACCTTCACTCCTTGGGGGTGCGAGAATGGATGGGGCAAGCAGGTGGCTGCAGTAAGTCATGGAGATGCTGCAGGGAAGGCCAGGATGAGGAGGAACCAAGTGCCAAGGGTTTGGCCCATCGTTTGGGGCTGCAGCACTGCCAGTTTGTGGCAATTCTTTCCCCATGAACTTCAAGGCCTCAGTGTGGACAGTCCCCACTAGCACAGGGACACAGGTAGAGCCTGAGCTGGGGTCCTGCTGCCGAGGCACCCTAAGGATGCAGGATGGAAGGATGCTGCCCATGGAGGATGGGGTGTCTGTTCAAGAACTTCCTTCTATCTAACCTGAACTTCCTCTGTTTCAGTTTAAACCCATCACCCCTTGTCCTATTGCTACCGTGGGCTGGACCTGGCACATATCTCACTTGGTAGGGAATTCTAGCTAAGCCATGGGGTTGAGGGGAGTCTGAGCTTGCTTGGGGGGAGTGGTGGTATTTGGGGTCCCCCACTTGCCCTTTATACCCTTTACCCCCTCTTCCTGCTCAAGCAGCAGGGAGGAAGGATGGGGACATCCCCGCGCAAGGAGCCGGGATGAGGAGTCCCAGCTCCCTAC